GGAATATGACAGGTATATATACTTAGTATAATTATTTGGATGTGTCAATTAATAAATATGTTGTTTTCAAACAATATGAACACCTGCATGTAATATATTCCATCATAAACCCCTGCAGTAAATACTATGTTGTGAGTGTTTCAGCCACTTTTATTTACTTTTTGGAAGTGGGAAGAGGATTAAAAACACAATAATGAGAGTTCACTGCCCTCCTGTGGTCACAGTGAGGAACTGCACCTTTTTATTTAAACAGAATATCAGAATAATGAATGAATATCTTTGATAGAGTTTGTGATAAAGTAAACACACTCTCATCTGATCATTTGATCCATAAACACTTATACTCATATTTTCTAGAATAAGTACAATATCACAATTAGCATATACTGTACTCGTAGAATTACATCTTGTCGGAGCTGTTTGGTTTTGTGTCTTATATTGAATGATAATCCTCCATGTTACTGTGCATCTCAGTCATACCTGTTATACTGTGAGGCATATTGGTTGCTTCCGTTTGATCGTATGAATTTGTATTTTGTTTGGAAATCAGTCACGACTAAACAAACCTGTCTGCAGGTGAGCAGAGGCCGACACCTGGTCCAGGGAAGCCCAGCAGACGTCCAGAGACAAGCTGCTGTGGCCAGCGAGACGCCGGGAGACAGACTGCACTGCACTCAGACTCTACTGACATTACAACAACTACACACAGCACTGACCAACAGGAAACTACTGACCAACACTCCTCCATTAAATGTATTAATAATTCATGACTCCTGTCTGGTGTGATGTTTTATTTAAAGGATGAACATTGTAGTGAAGGTAAAAGAGAGGAAATACCTTCTCATATGTGCTAAAATCCCTCGATTGCCGGACTTTTACTCTGTAATACAGCTCAGTGAATCTCCATGATAATCTGACAGTTCAAAGTAAATTATAACTGCAGGGTGTTTGACAGACCTGCAGCAGAGTACAGAACAGCATGTCATCTTCTTCTACAGCCCTGGAGGGAAACAACATGGAGTCTCAGTCATTTCAGATCAGTCTGAAGGAGGGAAAGAAAAAGCAATCAGAGAAGCCACATTGCTGTTTAATTGGACCAAGTCTTTGTGCAAGAACCCTACAAAACCAGTGAAAAATAATTGTTTTTTATATTTTTGTACCATGAGAAACGCAAGTCTGTCGGGTCTGCGATCTCTGGGGCATCTTATTTAATGGGACAGGTTCTACTTGGCCTCGTAATTTTTCTTGTTGTATTTGTGTTTCTTTTCCAATGATGTTACATGGTTTAAGATGATATTGTTCTATTTTATGTGTTGTCTTTCAGCATTTTAGCACCATGTTGGAAGTAAGTATTGATTGTTGTGTTTTGCAGATCAATAAATAAATCAAGAAGTGAAGCAGCCAGACAAACTCTGCATGTGTGGTTGAACAAGCAGTCATCCTTGAAATGACAATAAGCTTTGGAGGTTTATTTGTCCTGTTTATTAAAGTTTTGTATTGCATTTGCTAAAAGGAGAAAAAGAGTTTGAATGAAATTGCTTCATTCCACAGCTGTCTAAGAGACAAAAACATTTCATAATCTAAAAATTCAAAAGATCTTTGGAGATTTTAAGTTATATTCTGGATTTTACAGGAAAACAGCTAGAACAAGAGAAATATGATCTCTTTTCCTGGTTCCTGTCAGAAGACGTGCTGCAGCATTCTGGATCAGCTGAAGAGTCTTAATGGACCTTTTTGAGCAGCCTGGTTGCAGTAATCCCGCCTATAAGTAAGAAATGCATGGACTAGTTTTTCTGCATCATTTTTAGACAGAACGTTCCCGATTTTCACAATATTACGTAGGTGAAAAAATGCAGTCCTTGAAATTTACTTAATGTGAGACTTAAACGACATGTCCTGATTAAAGATGCAGGCGACACAGACAGGCAGAACACTTGACACGATTCACGACAGAGCGTACACACACTACAATGACCGGATTAGGACTGAACGGAAACACCAAACATAAATACTCCAGGGACTAACGAGCAGGCGGGAGCAACACAGGTGACAGGGATCAAGGCTAATGAGACAGGCAGGCAGAGAGACAGCAGGGGAAAACAGAGAGACAGGCAGGCAGAGGGCTTCTGGAGTAACAGACAGAATACAGGTTACTGAACACTAAACACAGACATTAACTAAGACACAGAACTACAATGCAGAACTAAACCTAAGATACACGACAGCAAACAGACTGAATCACCAACAATACAGACAGGCTACAAACAAACCCAAGGACAACAGACTGAGACTAACAGGTTGCAAAAAGGCCAAGAATCAAACAACAAAAAAACTAGAGGCCAACTAGAACTGGACAAACAAGCAACCAAATAATAAGCTTAATAATGAGGACAGAACAGACTAAAGCAGAATGATCAAAATCAGATTAAATAACAAAACTGGCAGAGAAATTCAACTAGCAGACAGACAGAACCCAAGCATGATGGTACAGAAACTAATACATCAGACAGGAACAGAACTGCTCTCTGTGACTTTAGATTTTTTGATCAGTTCAGTATCTGTGTTGGGTTTTGGGTTTCAGTCCTTTCTGTCTGTCGTCTTGTATCCAGTCTCGGTGTGTGTTTGCATTTTGATCTGGTCCTGTCTGTTTGTGTCTTGTGGAGATTAGTTCTTGTTCAGTTCTGTTCCTGTCTGATGTATTAAAATTCCCAGTAGAGGTGAGACACAATTTCAAGTTTCACTGCATTTTCCTATAACCACTTTATTACCACTGTATTAAAATATTTTAATTTACAGTTGATTCATATTCCTTAGCTTCTGACCTTTCACAGAAGACCAGAATTGCATCTAGACCTAATGGTTAAGGAGTTGTTACCGATTTATGCTGGGTTTGTTGTTTTAGGTGTTTTTCCTGGAAATAGGTGGCAGTTATCATGTGGTTAAAGTCAATAGATTACAGAGCTATACTCCCTCACTGTTGGAATTTAATATGAGTGATCAAATCCGTTGATATAAGAGAGTTTCCTGGGTGTAAAGTGGTTATAGGAAAATGCAGTGAAACTTGATATTGTGTCTCACCTCTACTGGGAATTTTAAAATGAACAGAACTAACCTGTCAGCCGTACAGCTGCACTGCGGTGGCTCAGGGAAAACATTTCATCTGATAGGAAAACCATGGGAGTAAAAACACATTGATATGCGCCTATTTGCACACATGTGACAAGTCACTGCAGGTGAATGGGATAAAGAAAATAACTAAAACATATCACCACAGAACTTCCCCAGTTAATGACTTACATTAAAATTATTTTCCTCTGAAATGTTCTGGGTAAATATGCAGATGAACTTGTTTTGGTTAATTTAGAATAATTCTACAGATGCAAACATAGATAGGTGAGTTATAATACTCATAACTAATTATGAGAAGTGCCCTCACCAATGTCTGTGCACGTCCCTGCCTGCGCCTCATTTCGAGCCAGGAAAACCCCTGATATTCTCAAAATATCCCTCTGACCGAAACAAACACATCAAGCTTTCAGTTTCACTTTCATTATGTTGCGCATCTATATTTGCTGGGTGTGTTTTGGGCCACTTTAAAAAGGCAGCAGACACTCTGAACTGTGTTTTCATTTCAGCTGCAGCTGCTTTAACTCTTTAACTCAAACAAGACCAGCAACTATTACAACTCAAGCATGACCAGCAACTCAGGTAAGTTATGATACTGTATCCATGTTTTAAAGTGCAATTAGTTTATGATGATAATGTACTACTGTGGGCTATCTCCTGTAGATAAATACTTCTATAGATTTATACAGGGTAGAACAGCAAAGACATATTAATTATTTGAATAATGTCTTACTTAACTTATCTTCCAAGATGATAATCTGACAAAAAAAATAAATGGTTATATTATAAACCTCTTTATTTTGTAAAAGGAAAAGGTTAATTTTTAAAACCTAAGGAATCTTAAAACAGATGTCAGAGTGGACGAGGATCCCCTCACTGCAGTGTGAAATGCACTTAAACACTGTTTAATGCAGCTCCCCAACCTTTCCTTCCTGTTTGGTCCACCTGAGGCTGATGTTGAATGTAACAAAGGTCAATAAAAGAACATGTTGGATGCAAAACAAAATTACATCTTCCAAGATCTTATATAACAAACTACCGCACTGATGCACAGTGCAGGTCTATATGCTGGTCTACAGTTATCTAATCGATTTGCCTGTTAATGTTCTGGCTGTAACCACAGAGTTTGAGATGTAAAGCACAAACAACCACCAAATTAATGTTGAAGCAAAACACGTTTTGTAAGGAGTGTGTTGCCGGTTCCACTTTATATAATATTTCTTATGATCCTCAAAAATGAAACGTTAAATTCACTGTGTACTTTTGCTTATGCCTGTTACACTGGGCATAAATCTCAAATGGACCCAACCAAAAAAAATGGGAAGTGAGTTGCTCTAATTTGACTTTACTTACAAACCCAACTCCCTGAGTTGCACACTGCACTGAGGGGCACCTGGACAGATGGTTTCCACCATGCAGTTTCACTTTCAGCTGACAGAGGGGGGCAGTTTAAAGTAAAAACTGATGTAGGTTTGTATTCATTGACACTCGTTGTTCTACACAGGATACACCATAACAAATGAGGAGGAGGTGAGGATAGTGATGGTGGGGAAGACTGGAACTGGGAAGAGTGCCACTGGAAACAACATCCTGGGACGAGAGTGCTTTGTGTCAAAGTTCAGCGCAAAGTCTATGACTGTAGACTGTGGTAAGGGCACAGCTGTGGTGGGTGGGCAACAGGTTGCTGTCATTGACACCCCGGGTCTGTTTGACACCAGGTTTGACATGGAAAAAACAACTAAAGATGTGGGCCAGTGCATCTCTTTTGCTGCTCCTGGACCCCATGTGTTCCTGGTGGTCATCAGACTGGGCAGATTCACTGGAGAGGAAATGAAGACAGTGGAGAAGATTCAAGAAATCTTTGGCCAGGCTGCAGACAGATACAGCATGGTTCTCTTTACCCACGGTGACCTTATTGAAGACACAACTATCGAGGACTTCTTGAATGAAAGCTCAGAGCTTCAACAACTCGTGGCCAGATGTAACGGCCAGTACCACCTCTTCAACAACAGGAAGAAGGAGGATCGCTCTCAGGTCACTGAGCTCCTCCAGAAGATCAGAGATGTAGTCCAGAAGAACGGAGGACACCACTACACCAACGAGATGTTCCAAGAGGCCGAGAGGGCAATCAAAGAGGAGGAACAACGCATCCTGAAAGAAAAGGAAGAGCAAATACGGGAAGAAAGAGAGAAACTTGAAAGGGAAATTAATGAAAAATATGAAAAACTAATGAAGAAAATTACTGAGAAACTCCAGGCTGAGAGAGAGAGGGAGAGGAGAGAGAGAGAGGAGGAGAGGGAGAGGGAGAAGGAGGAGATGAGTGAGGAAAGAAAGAGGTTGTGGGAAGAGATAAGGGAACAAAGAAAGAGAGAGCGGGAGGAGATAGAAATGGAGAGGAAAAAATTAATGGAACAGCATCAGAGAGAACTGAGAGAGGAAATAAACAAGTTGCAGGATGGATATGCCAAGACAATCAGGGGTCTAGCTGAGGAGATTAAAAGGTTAAAAGATAGAGAGTGTGCGATTCTTTAAAGCTGTTGTAAAAACAGAGGAAACCTCCAGAAGCTCCGAGACACAGAAAGCAAAAAAAAGAAATCATCCACAGAAATATAATCACAATTAACTATATAACTATAAAATGTTTGCATTTAAACATTTTAAGATCATATCACTTATCTCAAGCTATTTCACATTAAATTACATATCGTTTGAATTGTTTATTGTATTTTAAATCACAGCACTTTGTTTTCTGCAGACTAATAGATATCCATAAATAGAAATAGATCTGCACTCTGATTGCTTTTGTCTTTTGCTAAGAGGTGGAGCCACCTAGTGACTTCATATATACACTGTAAAAATTCGTTCAGTGCTATTGTCCTTATAACTTAATTTTAAAAACTATATTTATTCCAATAAATTAACTTATTTTTCTTTCTTTGTTTTTTGAGTTTTCAAAAAGTAAAAAAGTGTGAATATTTTCGTAACTTAATATTTTCTATAATAAAATTAATTTAATTGGACTTCACCATAAATTGATTTTACAAAACTCATTTTAAAAGTTTATATCAGACGTATCCTTATGGACGTATCAGACGTAAAAAGACACGACCCGCCCACTACCTGCAGCAACAGAAGAACAAGCCCGGGCAAATCCTTCATTCTCGTCTGTTCCAGAAGTTTATTCGAACGGGGTTTTCTACGGAGCCGGATAATACTTCACGTACCTCATGTAAGTAACTCTTTGTGTTGTTAAAAGTGAGATTTTACCCTAATTAACGTCTTTGTGCTGCACAATCGCTCTGTCGAAGAGCGCCAATTTCGAATGTGCTCTAACGTTAACGTTACCTCAAACAGTTTGTTAACTTGAGCCACATAAATTACTGTATTAATCTAACGTTACGTGTGTGTGCGCGTTGTATAAGTAATGTTGACTTTGTGTGATAGTTTAATGTTTCAGAGGTGTTTGTAACTTCTTCAAAAACATTGAGTCCGCTGCCAACGCTGTCGAAGCTACGACAGACACACGTAGCCACAGCTAACGTTAGCTAAGTTAAGTGATTACTGATTATCGTCGGTTGGATATGAATGTTAATGTGCCAGTGCAGCAGTTACTTTGGCGAGTACACAATCCACACAATCTAACCAAAACCACATTGATGAGGGAGCAAACATTTGCAACTATGAGTGTGGGCACTGTTAGCTAATGTGGATTAGCACATAGCCTGAAATACACCCACACCGCCCGCGGTTAACACACCTCAACGTGGTGCTCAAGGTGCAGGCCCATTTCTCCTCATCCAGCGTGCTTTACACGTGTTTGTCTTAACAGGAAAACTTTGTATTTGACTGTGGCACATTCACACATCTCACACCAACACACTTTGCAGTCATTCCAGTTGTTCCACTAATATTTTGGCAAGAGAGGTTACAAGTATTTTAGGCTATCTAACCTAACAATTAGTCAATTGTGATGGTTAGACATGAGGTTGACATGATGTTTCAGATTATTTTCTAAAATAAATTCTGTGATGAACTAAAGTTACCCATTCTTGTCTTGTCCAGCAGGATAATCTTCATTTGTATTTTAAGTGTATTTTTTTATGGATTTTGTCAGGCTTGTATTCAAAAGGCTAGATGTAACTAACTTTATTTATTTTTATTGACAGATGGGATGGCCCTGTAAATTGTGCAACACTGTGGTACCAGGAAAGTGACATTTTAAAGCATTATAGACTGCATCATGGGACTTTTGGACACAGCCATGCCTTGCCTTGTATTCATATAGATTGCCCATGTTCTTTTAAATCCTGGAGTTCCTTCCGCTCTCACCTCTCAAGATACCACCCAGAAGCTAAATCCTTCATCTCACCACAAGTAAGTCTTTCATTTACCTGCCCTTTGTGTCAAAACCCTGGATTTAACAACGAAAAGGATTTTTTTGAGCATATAGGTCACCATCTCAAGAATAACGAGACTGTTAAGTGTGTCTTCATAGAATGTGATCACCAAACAAATGTGTATGGGACGTTTGCAACACACAAACACAGAAAGCATACTCCATATACATCACAAGATTTCAAACCAGGGATTATTTGTGGGTTACCCGAGGAAGCACTTGATTTTGAAGCCTCTGAAGAGGATGAGGTCCACAATGATGCTAATCATGAAGGCAGTAGCACTAATGCACACTATGAAGAGGAAGATGGAAGCAGTGTAGTTGTAGAGTATATAGCATCCCTCTTGTTGAAATTAGAGTGTTCATAATGTTTCAGTTCGGTGCATTGATGAATTGGTTGATGATCTTCACTTCATAGCAAATTCTGCATGCATATCTTCAGTTAAAAGTATCATTGTTTCACATTTTAAGAAAAATAACCAAACCATTGATGACACTGTTGTTACATCTTTGAAGAATTGTGCAATTCCAATCCCCTAAGCTCAGCACTTAGTAGTGCTGGTCCTCTATCCTCATCGTTCAAGAGACGGAAGTATTATACAGAAAAATTTGAAGTTGTTGAGCCTGTTGAGTATGTCCTTGAACCAAATGAGAAGAGAAGTTTCCAGTATATTCCAATTCTTAAGTCTTTGATTAATATTTTGGGTAAAGAAGATCTTCGAGAAAAAGTTCTGAGTAAAGAAAAGGACAAGCCATCTACTAAATATGAATCATATCAAGACGGTACAATCTATAAAGATAATTCTTTTTATTCTGAAGAACTAAGAATTACACTTGTACTGTACATTGATGACTTCGAAATTTGCAATCCACTGGGAACTTCAAGAAAGAAGCACAAGATTACAGCTGTATACTGGGTGTTTGGCAACATTCCACACTCATCTCGGTCAACTCTGAGCTCTGTGTACTTGGCCCTTTTATGTAAAGCAGTGGACATCAAAAGATTTGGTTATGAGGAAGTGCTTGCCCCTTTGTTAAAAGACATTGCTATCTTGGAGCGTGACGGCATCTACATTTCCTCAGTAGGACAAAATGTGAAAGGAAGTGTGTTTTGCGTTGCAGCAGACAATCTTGGGGCACATTCAATTTGTGGATTAGTGGAAAACTTTTCTGGTCCATTCATTTGCAGATTTTGTCTTGGACAGCGATCAGAATATCAGATAAAGGAGGTGAGGTCTGGTGCCTTTCCGGCTCGCACCCAAGAAGCACATGCAACTCATGTATTGACTGTCAAAGAAAACCCTGCCTTGACACATTGTTTCGGTGTTAAAAAGGCTTGTCCATTGACTGAAAATCTGAGCTATTTCCACTGTGTCACTGGCTATCCACCTGACATATTACATGACGTTTTTGAAGGGATTGTTCCCTTAGAACTGGGTCTGTGCTTCAGTGTTTTTATTTCTAAGAAATATTTCACATTTAGTGAACTTAACAGTGCTATTTCACAGTTTCCATATAAGTGGTCTGACAAAACTAACTCTCCTCAGCCAGTGCCTGCTACCTTCTCCTCAAGAAACAAGATTGGAGGAAACGCGCATGAAAATTGGTCCCTCATACGACTGTTGCCATTCATTATTGGACACAAAATACCTTTGAGTGATCCAGCCTGGCTTCTGTTGATGTCTTTAAAAGACATTGTTGAGCTTGTTGTGGGTCCAGTCCATAATGAGGAAAGCATTGCATATCTTGACTCAAAAATTTCTGAACACCGACACAGATTCCAGGAAGTGTTCCCTAATGAAGAATTAATCCCGAAGCACCACTTTTTAGAGCACTATCCTGCTTTGATAAAAGCTTTTGGACCAGTTATAGCTTTCTGGACGATGCGGTTCGAAGCAAAACACAGCCAGTTTAAACGGATTGTAAGGCATACTGGCAACTTCAAGAACATTCTCCTGTCCCTGGCTACAAAGCACCAGCTTATGATAAGCCACAACCTGCATTCCACAACAGTTTTGCCTGCTCTTAGTGTTGTAAGAGTAACATCAGTTCCAGTGGATGTCCTACATGTAAATGTTCAGGAGTCAATCAGGCATATATCTCCTTCTCAGTCTCATGTTCAGCTGGCTGACACAGTCACCTATCAGGGATCGAGGTACTCAAAAGGCATGATTGTGGCCTTTGGTTCTACTGCAGGTCTTCCTGATTTTGCAGTGATTCTTCAAATTGCACTTATCGAGGAAAGAGTGTATTTTATTGTGAGAACACAGATATCCTGGTTTGATGAACATTATCGCGGATATTATCTGGAGAAGACAGACCACATAACTCTCGTTGAGCAACGATGCCTTACTGATGTATATCCTCTGTCTGCCTATATTGTTGCAGGAAAGCAAATGGTGATATTGAAGCGCCACATCTGTCTCCAACATAACTCTTCTTAGAAATGGAGCAAACTGTGAGATTCCGGGTCCTCATCGATCATGAAATCAAGAAATCAACTCACTCTCAGCAGTGGCATGCCCTCAACTGTGAATGAGTTGGTTGCAGCTGTCAAAGAACATTTTTCCATCCCCACAGATATAAGTCTTCAATACAAAGATGAGGAATTTGATGACTTCTTCACCCTAACATCTACCAATGAGCTGAAAGATAAGTGCACACTTAAAGTTGTGTATACACCGCTGGAGTTGACGCTGACCGTTGTTCCCCAGGAAAGCACCCCAGATGCCTCTGATGTCAGCTCTCTCTGTGAGTGTACGAGTCTCAGTGGGAACTCAGTGGATACCGTCATTCCGAGTCCATCCCCCTCTGAAAGGCAGAGCCCATGGCCTGCTGTGTTTCCAATTCCAACCTTCTCACACAACACTGAACTGGCCTTAAGACAAGGAAATGAGATTTATTTAAGAGATGGCACCCCTATGACATCACCAAGTATCAAATCAGACATCCTGGAGCGCCTGGCAGAGGCCATGTTTTTCTACACAGCTTACCCCAATGATGCCCAGAGATGTGCAGTGGCAGAGGCACTAGTTGCAAAGCATCCCTGCTTAAAGGAGCCCGGATCTTTTAATGGAATTTATGGGTGGCAGGTAAGCCTAAAGTATAAGTGTGGAAACTACCGGACAAAACGGAAAGCACTTGGAAGCACTGAACTCCTGATAAACTCACTGAGAAACAAGTCAAGTGATGAGCAAAAGCCGCTAAAAATGTCAAGAAACCAAAGAGGGCAGAGGTGAATTACTTGCCCTCACACCCACATGGTGAAACAGATGACACCCTTGAGAATCTGAGACTTGACCTAATTGCTGCCCATCAGACAAAGGACTCTGTCAGGAGCACAAATGATATGATGGCCATAACATACAGCTGGAGAAGACAGGAAGTTATTACCAAGTCTCCTGGTGTGGCAGAATTCAAGGAAAGATGGCCTGCCCTCTTCGAACCATTCCAGGTAAGTGACTTATCATTCAGTTTTTGCTGACACTACTCACTTCTGAGAACTTTTTAGAAATTGTGACTTGGACATGAGATAGTAGATTAATCTTTAAACCCCCTTAAATAAGTCAAACATTTGCTGTCTTACAGGTAAACGAGGAGTTCCGAAGATGTACTGCAGTTTCCCTGGAAGCGACGTTTATGTCACAGCTGGACAAATACACCCCAAAGCTCCTAGAACTCTTTAGTGCCAAGGGAGGAGCAACTGGTCAACGCATCAAAAAGTTGTTGATGGATCTGATACAGGTAGGGAAAAATTGGTTACAAAGTTAAGGTACGATATTAATCAATTGAGTGGTTTTGTTTTTCAGTTTTTTCAGCATCTTGCTTATCTGGGTGGTTTTTCTTTTGTTGTTGTTTTTTTGTTAATTAGCCAGTTTTTTTCTAAATTGTCTCGTGTTATTACTATTAATATATTATAATGAATAAAAAAGAAAAAATAATACAGACCTACAGTAATTACAGGGTTGGAGTGAATTTACCAACAAAAATAATTTATTCATTATTGTTCTATTAACTAGGACCCAAGTGCCACTACAGTGAAGAAGAGAGATGTCACTCTGAGATGCCTCTTTGAGTATATGGGAGAGAGTGGACAGGAGCTTATCTCGGATTACTGTGTAAGTATTGTCTCAAAGCAGGTTTGGGTCAGTCTGGTGAACATGTTTAAATTGTGCGGACTGTTAAAGGATAACTCTTGCCAAATTGCAACCTAGGCTATTTTTGCTAATCTACCAGAGTCATACTTTCTTGTAAAAGCATAATTAGAATGGAAATACCACTTTTAAGATTGACCGTATTTTCGTTTTCAGGTCAAAATGCCTTTTGAATGGGTGTGCTAGGGGCACTACAATGATTGCATCAAAATCGCTAGTTTTAAAACAAGCGGCTCTACACATGAACTTGAGCATTGACAACATTGTTTGTGTACACACAGTTTACTAAAAAATGTTTTGTGCGACTCACATTATCAGTTAGTGTTTACGGTGGCTAGAATTTTGACAGTCAAAAGTATTCGATCTCCGAATGTAATGAACTACATATGAGGAAATGTCATGAACTTGTAATTCCAATAAAAAGCATGATAACTTAGCTCATGGCAATTTATATGGAAACAAACTTTAGGAGCTTTCCATCTTTACTCTCCTCATGTTGCATTGCATTTGGAGATTGACAAAATTCCAGCTACCAGAAACACAAACATGTATGTATGTATGATCTACAGGGTATTGCACCAATGTTGTCTTAACCTAGAAGTGTGTCTATAACAGCTTTTCAGGGATTAACTAGCGCTTAAATAATATGAATCACTGACTTGTCCAGGCGACACATAAAACTAAACATCAGTTGTCTTAAGAGTTCCTCACAGGTTGGCACTCTAGTAGACACAAACAAATGACTGGCCCTATGTCACATAGGCACACGAAACAGCAGCCGCCACTGATAAAGTGAGTCGTACAAAACCTTTCTATAAGGCGCACTTAAAAGCCTTTAATTTTCTAATCCGGAGCGCCTTACATATGAATCAATTGGTTAATAACGCTCTGCGTTATTAAATTCGCCCGTGAACTCGCGCTCGTGTCCATCTTATGCCCGCTCTGTCACACGGCCAGTTCAACCTCGTATAAATCATGTTATGTGTGTAAGTCACGTGACCGCTCACTCTTACTAACAGACACACAAACAGACACACTGTCCCCCGCGCTGCTCGCGCGTCACAGAATGTTCATAAAGCGCTCCCTGTTCACAGTAACCGGGTCGTCTCATTCAAACAGCCTGCTGTTGCTGTCAGCGAGCCGCCGCACATGAATACTCATGAGTCAGGCTGCGAATGCAAGTTACGTGCCTGCCCCAGCGCGCTCACGCTTACTAAAACGCCTCACCTCCGGTGCCGCGCATTCGCTACATTCCCTTTGGCACATCTAGTGGATGCATAACGCAAACCCAGTCAAACGTTTGACTGCAGTATCTTATGCGCCTTATAATCCGGTGCGCCCTATATATGAAAAATGTTCTAAAATAGGTCATTCATTGAAGGTGCGTCTTATAGTGCGGAAAATACGGTACACAATTTGTCAATGCTCGAGTCCATGTGTAGAGCCCCTGGTGACACTTCAAGTACAGTTTCATGTTGTGTTGAGCCTTCTTAGTGTTTTAAAAATAGTGATTTTTATGCCATCATTGTAGTGCCCCTAGCATTCAAAAGGCATTTCGACTTCATATGAAAAAAGTCAATCTTGAGAGTGGCATTTCCATTCTAATTATGCTTTTACAAGAAAGAATGACTCTGGTAGATTAACAAAAATAGCCTAGGTTAAATTTTGGCAAGCGTTTCCCTTTAATGTGAACTGAATGAACCAGCATTTGGCAGGTAGTGGATTATTTATGCATTTATTTATTTTTCTTAATAAATGAGATTGTTTGTCTTAAATACTTTATCTTGTATCTCAAAAGGGGGCCGCAGAGACCATTGTTCATGAGGACCTGAAAATTAAGAACATGAGCATCTATGTCTGCCGTGAGCCAGATGCAGTAGGAATCATCATTGAGGGAATACCAGTCCTTACCAATCTTGGAAACCTGGCCAAAGCATGCTGCTTCCTGCTTGGGTTGACATATGCACTCAATCTTGAGTATCCATCCAAGCTTTCCAAAACATTTGAGGTGTTTCAAAGACTTTTCGTGGGACTTGACACACTGCGCCCAAAACCAAGCCCCAAGTTCTTGACCCTGAAAAACAAACTCCTTGCCTAGGCACTCAGACATGACTGTCACTGCACTTGTGAACAGCTGTTTTCTTTGTCTGTTCAACATCATTATACATTGGACATAATGGGTGTTATGTCCAATGTTATATTGGACATAATTGGACATTCAGGGTGTTGTAATGGTTTATCCTTGTCATGTTTTATACTGTACACAGGTCATACTTCCTGGTGTGAAAAAGTAATTATATTTTATACACACAAAATAGACCTGCTGTGAAGCTGCACTTTAAAAACTGGTCAGTAGGTGAGATCAGTGAGATGTTTGACTAAAGATGTTTCAAAATATTCACACACGCTGTGAAGGTATTATGCCAAGTTGAGGTCAGATGGTCATGCTTGTGACCTGTAATGTTAGTGTTATAATGTTTCAATATTATGTTCACACTGTACTGTTAAAAGGATAGTTCACTTCAAAATGAAAATTCTGTCATCATTTACTCACCCTCAAGTTGTTTTAAACCTGTATGAATTTCTTTCCTCTACAGGACACAAGGAAGATGTCTGAAGAATGTCAGTAACCGAACAGTTAACTGGACCCATTGACTTCCATATTAGAAAAAAATAAAAAGACTATGGAAGAACATTCTTCAAAATATCTTCCTTGTGTTCAGCAGAAGAAAGAAATTCATACAGGTTTAAAACAACTTGAGGGTGAGTAAATGATGACAGAATTTTCATTTTGAAGTGAACTATCGTTTTAAGGTGTTTTACTAACCTACTATTTACAAGCTGAGGTCATATTTTGTTTAATACATGAATACAGAAGTTCTTGATTGTTTATACTGTCCAGCTCATTCCCACTATTTGGATATGGCATGTGAATTGTTAAAAAAATAGCAAGTGCCAGTTAACTTGATATTAAAATGTTTTAATATTATGTATGTACACATAGTAAAATATACTGTGAAGGTGTTCTTCTAACCTGCACTTTATAAGTTGAGGTCATGCTTTTTTTAATGCATGAATAGATGTTATTGATTGTTAACACTATCCAGCTCATTTTGAATTTGGTTTGTAAATTGTTACTTAATTTTAATTTTAAATTTTTAAATTTTGTAACATTATGTACACAGAACTGTACTGTGAAGGTGTTCCACTAACCTGCACTTTATTTGCTGAGGGCATGTTTTCTTGAATGCCTGAATACCAATGTTTATACTGTCCAGCTCATTGCTACTGTTTTGGATATGGCAATGATTTAATAAATGTTGGAAATTGACATAGTAGCAACTATTTATTTGAAGCTATTTACACTTTCAAAACAAAGAGGGTAAATTGATCAAAATTAATAAATCAGAACATTATCTACTTATTTTTTTCATTTAAGTTACCTATTTTAATTAAGTTTAATGTGTATAAAATGATGATATTTTCTACATTGATAGTACTCAATTTATTGGCTTTTTCTGAAAATGCTACTTAATATTTTTGCATACATTGAAATTCACATTATTAAGTTGTCTTTACTCAAAATATCAGTTAGTTCACTAAACTTGAAAAAAATAGTTGGAAAATGTTGTCTTAATTTTATTGAGTTAGATCCAAGTAACAGTTTTAACAGTGTACACACACTGTATATATGATTTTCATTTCCTCTCTCTGGTTCTGGTCATGTGTCATTAAATGTATTGTAACAGTTTGTAAATCTTTACATTGTTTGATTTTGTTTTCCTGTTGGTAGCAGTTTGTTATTCATTCATACATTTTATGGTTAATGTGGATTTAATGCCGCTCAAGAACAAAAATGTGTTCATGTGCTAAACTGAACTAGAAATAAAGATGTGATGTGAAGACCAAACCTTTGTCAAAGAAATAATTAACTGTGGGATCAAGAGTAGGCTCAGGAGCCCACCAGCTGACACCACATCATAAAATCAAATAGTTGATTTAATATTTTTATCACAATATCAGCAGAAAATGTGCATAACCTCTCCAGCAACACAGCCGCTGCACAGTCTCCCACCAGGTTTTGTGGTGTTTGTGGAGGCTGAAAGAACTACGTGAATACACGCCAGCCACTGCAGGAAGGTGCCTGCATCAGTACAGTAAAAGATCAACATGCGTGCACAATCAGCAACTGAACCACTGTTTTACCTGACCTTGTGTTGTGAGTGAAGGAGGGATTGGGAACGCTTAGACACCCTTTGTCTCGGACTCACAGGCTGTTAGACAGCAAACATCCGCACAAGGGAGCTAGTGGGAAAACACCAGAGCCCCGTTTCAGAAAGCAGGTTCAACCTGAACTCTGGGTTGATGAACGCTGAGCTGCCAAACTCAGAGTTTCTGGTTTCAGAACAGGTGTTACCTTACTGCCCCACCAGAGCACTGCGCTCCCAGAATGCAGGGTTACTTGTGGTTCCTAGAGTCTCCAAAAGTAGACTAGGAGCCAGAGCGTTCAGCTATCAAGCTCCTCTCCTGTGGAACCGGACACCATCTCCACATTTAAGAGTAGGCTTAAGACTTTCCTCTTTGATAAAGCTTATAGTTAGGGCTGGCTCAGGTGAGTCCTGAGCCATCCCTTAGTTATGCTGCTATAGGCCTAGACTGCCGGGGGATTTCCCATGATGCACTGAGCTCCTCTCTCCTATTCTGTCTCTACCTCTCTATGCATCCCATTATTGCATGTTACTAACTCAACTACTTCCCTTTCCCGTAGTCTCGTGCTTTCTCGTCCCTCTCCTCTCTCCTCCTATCACTTCCTGCAGGTGTTTCTGGCTCTGGAGCTGTGGAGTCTGGATCTGTGGCTGCGGGTCACCTGCTGCCCCCGTGTTCCTGCTCGACACCCTCTTCTACAATAATAATATAATAATAATAATAATAGTCTTTATTTGTAGAGTACTTTTCAAAAACAAGTTAAAAAGTGCTTTAACAAGTGTAAAGACAATAATACCCAAAAAACAATAATACAAAAACAATACAAGATAAAGAAAAGAAAAGACTAAAATACACGTTTAAGATAAATATAAAATGAGTAAAATAGAATAAAATAAAAGGGATAAAATAAAGTCAAATAAGATTGGGAAAGGCTCTCCTATAAAAGTATGTTTTAAGAAGGGACTTAAAAGAGTTCAGTGACTCAGCCGACCTGATTTCCTTGGGCAGGCTGTTCCAGAGCCTCGGGGCCCTGACAGCAAACGCTCTGTCCCCTTTAGTTTTCAGTCGAGACTCTGGAACAGACAACAGACCTCTGCCCGAGGATCTCAAGTTACGTGCTGGTGCGTATGGGACTAAAAGGTCAGAAATATAACAAGGCGAGAGGCCATGAAGAGCTTTAAAAGTGATCAATAGAATTTTAAAGTCAATTCTAAAACATACTGGGAGCCAGTGTAATGAAGCTAAAATAGGAGTAATGTGGTCATATTTCTTTGTTCTGGTTAAAAGCCTGGCAGCTGAGTTCTGGACAGTCTGGAGTCAATCAATAGATTTTTGGGTTAAACAGGTGAAAAGGCTGTAATCCAGGCGTGATGAGATGAAGTCGTGTAAAATGGTCTCGGTGTCCTTAAAAGTTAACATAGTTCGAATTTTTGCTATATTTCTAAGGTGATAAAAACATGATTGAACAAGCTTTTTGGTGTGCTGCTCGAAATTTAAATTACTATCAAACCAAACACCAAGGTTCTTTGCCACAGGCTTAATGTGATTTACTAGGGAACCAGCAGATGGCAGTATTTGATTTGCCATCTGCTGAGATCCGATGACCAGGATTTCTGTTTTGTCTGAGTTCAGCTGGAGGAAATTATTTGACATCCATTTTTTAACTTCACAAAGGCAGTTGTTAAGTGAACTCAGCATTCCAGGGTCTGTGGATCTGATGGGCAAGTATATTTGTGTGTCATCAGCATAAATATGAAAAGAAATGCCATGTTTATGGATAATATGTCCAAGGGGAAGCAGATACAAGGAAAACAAAATGGGTCCTAAGACCAACCCCTGAGGCACACCATATTTAACTGGACAGAACGAGGAGACATAGTTGTTTACAGACACACAAAACTTCCTATTTGACAGGTAGGATGAAAACCATTCTAGGGCAGTACCAGAGATCAATGGTATCAAAAGCAGCGCTAAGGTCCAGGAGTACAAGGACTGAGCACATACCTTCATCAGCAGACATTAAAAGGTCATTGGTGACTTTAAGCAGGGCAGTCTCAGTGCTGTGGTACTTCCTGAAATCAGATTGAAACTTTTCAAATAATTTGTTATTTTCCAGTTCAGTGAGCAGCTGTTTGGACACAATACTTTCTAAAATCTTTGCAATAAAAGGCAGTTTTGAAATTGGTCTAAAATTATGTGGGAGGGAGGGATCTAAACCAGGTTTCTTTAAAAGTGGGTTCACGCAAGCCGTTTTAAAATAATCAGGGACACAACCAGTAGATAGGGAGCTGTTGAAAACAGAGATCAAATGGGGCCCAACAGAATCTATTACTTTCAGTAGAAACTTTGTAGGTATAACATCAAGTGGGCTGGAGGACACTCGCATTTGTGATACTGTTTTTAAAAGTTCAGACAAGTCGATGGGATAAAACTGGTTAAAACTCTCTTGTTGCTGGTGAGGAACCTCTGAGTAAGAGGCCGCAGGGGTAAAAGAGGCTCTGATTGATACCACCTTATTGGTAAAATAAGATAAAAACAATTCACAGTCATCATTACTTCCAGCTGAGGCACAAGGAGGGGTTGGGTTTACCAGCTGATCCACAGTCTTAAACAGAAACCTGGGATTGTGTTTATGTGTAGTAATGAGTTCAGAAAAATAGTGTGTTCTCATATCCTTAACCATTTTATTGTAGTTAATTAATAAATCCTTCAGACTGAGGTAATGGACTTGGAGATTGGATTTTTTCCATCTGCGCTCTGCTTTCCTGCATTCCCTTTTGAGGCTGCGAATGCTGTCATTTATCCAGGGTTGCTTACTAGCTTTAGACGTAGGCCTAACCTTTAGAGGAGCAGTAATATTTAGTGATGACAAGCAGATATGATTGAAGTGATCGACCAGATTGTTGGTGTTGGAATCAGACAGGTGTTGGCTTTGGCTCTGAAAGAATGTGCAAAACTTTGAAACACTTTGTTCATTAAAGATAAGAGAACACACGGAGCTTGGTGAGGCGGCATGAGTAACAGGCGAATCGCAGCTAAAAACAATACATCTGTGGTCAGATATGGTCATTTCCACTAATTCCACAGAGGAAATGCTGACACCCAGGGTAAAAACCAAGTCCAGTGTATGACCACGGTTATGTGTTTGTCCTTTGCCATGTTGTATGAAGTTAAAAGAAGTGGCCATATTTAAAAAGTTAGTTGCATTAACATTGTTGGGGTCATCAACATGAATATTAAAATCGCCACAAAGAACAATTCTGTCATAATTTAAAACCAGAGTAGATAAAAATTCAGGAAGTTCTGATAAAAATCCTCCAGGCAGTTAATTATAATAAATATGATAGGTTGCAGCCCTCTAACTTTAAGAGTGAGAACTTCAAAGGAGTTAAATTCATCACAGCGTACTTGATGACATTTAAAATTTTTCCTATACACGCTCACTAGCCCACCACCACGACCACTGACCCTCGGTTGACTAAAGCAATCATATTGAGGCGGACACAGTTCAGCTAGCTGGCTATAGTCATTCATTTGCAACCAGGATTCAGTTAAAAACATAAAATCTAGATTTGCAGACAAGATAAAATCATTTAAGATAAAAGTCTTACTTGAAAGTGATCTCACATTAAAGAGAGCCATTTTAAATGAGTTTGTTCTGGGTGCTGGAGTTGGTGCAGTTGTCCTAATCCTTAAGAGATTACTATTATTTCTGTGTGGGATGTGCACGTTTCGGTTTACTGGTCTATGCGTGATGATGACAGGAATAGAAGTCTGTGGAACAGCGCTGGGAGCAGACGGCTTTACATGCCAGCAGGTGGAGACAGTTGTTTGTGGCAGTGAGGCAGAGATCTGTTCAGTGAGCGGTGGTGTGTCCAGGTGTGCTGCATGAATGATGAGTCATTCAGGTAAATCATGTATGGACCGCACCACATGCTGTATGTGAGCAGCTAACATTTCTGAGCCCCGTTTGTTTGGGTGAAGTCCGTCTGTCTTAAAAAGAGACATTCTTTGCCAGAAAATATTAAAATTATCCACATAACACACACGATGAGCCCTGCAGGCGGACTGGAGCCAGTCGTGGAGGCCAAGGAGTTTACTGAAGGGGCCAGCACCGCGACCACCTGTGACCAGAGATAAAAACAGACTTTCCACACTGCTTTAAAAAGTTAAAAAGACGGTTAAAATCTGATACAACTATTGTTACTAGTCCTATTGTTAATATAATCATTAACATTACGATTGTTATCATTAACACTACTGTAAATATCTATACATTTTTCATTTAGTCAATAGCAACATCACCTTTACTGTCTGTACCTCTGTGTGTATATTGTGTAGGCTGCCTCCCTCCCCTCTCTCTCTTTCCATGTCTCTCTCTCTCTCTCTCTATTCACAGTCTGAATGAGGAAATGTCAGACAGCCGCTTCAAGCTCCGCAGGAGGGGAGGAGTCAGAGAGAAACTCAGGGTTAGTTGAAGTAAACCTCCTCCCGAGCAGGTCAGGTTCACAGCGTAAGTGTCAGGGGTTACAAACCTAGAGTTTATCTGATCTCGCTCTCTGACACCGAAAACCCAGAGTTTCCTTCATCTCAGGCTCAACTCTGGTCTCATCACTGCTGATTTAAGTGACGCTGTTAAGGCCCTAGAGCCGTGGGTCCTGTGTTTTGTTTTGGTGCGTCTTTCTCTTGTAGTTCTCCAGGTAC